CGCTGCCCGCTATGCAAATCACTGCCTGCTATGCAAATTACTGCCTGCTATACAAATCACAGCCTGCTATGCAAATCACTGACTGCTACGCAAATCGCTGCCCGCTACGCAAATCACTGACTGCTATGCAAATTGCTACATTTAAATATTAATACACTTTGGTGATCAGGTACATATGTACATTACAAAAGTATGTATTTTGACACATGAAATAAAGTAGTCTGAAAAAAGTCAGTGACTTACCCTATGTACCCAGTCTTTTTGGTCGGAATCATTGATACAACGATCCAATGCATTCGGTGATAGCACCAATACGAAATTCTTTGCATTTTTAACACTAGAAAGTAAATTATTATCAAATTTTCCTGCTTCTAGTTTCTCTACATCTATAAACACTGTAAAACCTCTCAACTGTAGATGGACTTTAAGTAGACTGAAATAAAAACAAAAGTATATCCTTTAGTGTGCGCATAGAAGGTGCTGTCAGCGGTTCAAGTTAAATACAGAATGAATACAGTATATCATTAACTGAATAAAGTTGAACATGGTATGCAGTTGATATTCACCCACTTAGTGTACATGTCATCTTATTTCTAGTCTGCTCCTCTCCACATCTGCATGCTGACAACTTTACATGAATAGGCAGTACAGAAACTATCTAATAATTGTTCTCTTCTAACAAACTGATATTACCTCCCCTTAATGTGTCAGCAATAGTACAAACCACAGTATAATGTTGTATAAAGTAGACTATTGACTGAACTAAAAGAATATATCGTTTTATCACTCCCAATAATTAATATCATTATACACCTGTCACCATGACGGCATAAGTTACAGCGTGCCATAATTTTGCGATATTTTATGGGGTATCTTCATCCTACCATATACGGAAATGTGAATTTCAAATATGGAATGATTACGCGCGTAAGCGTCCTCTAATAAAAAAAAACATGGCTGCCACCAAGGTTTTGACCGGACTGATTCGCTGATTCTGTTCTAACCATTTTGGATTTCGACATTCCTATGATGTATCTTTGGAAGGAAAAGATGTATATTAATAAGGTTATTACGAGGATACTCAGACAGTACGCCATCGCATCGACCTCCGCTGTATCGGTTGCTACTCCTGCTGTACTGTCTTTGTAATAACCTCATAATACTAATTAATTTTCTCCAGTCATACCTTGCTAGCTGTGAACCAGTTGATCTCCTGTAACTTATAAAGACATCCGTCCTTTCTTTCCTGAGACGTCTATAATCTAACTGTACAGTACCAACTGGACTAAAACACTTGTTTGGACTGTCAAAAGCTTTCTCAAAATCACCTGGAACAGTAAATAAATTAATATTAATACACGATATAAGATATATTTGACTGACCATTATACACATCTGAATTTAGAAACCTAATTGAGATATGAATGACCTAAACAGATTGATTACAGTGGTACAGCAAAATATTTATATTTGTAATATAATTAGAGGCATTATCAGAGCATGGGTCTTATTTTGGAACTCCTGCTAGGATGGTATTCCCAGAATAGTGCCAGTTGTTAAAGAAACATAAAACTTTAATTATTAACAAGGATGAAAGGACCAGTTACTGAGACAAAGCCCTATTCCCTGCGAAACCCACCAGATACGAAACCCACTTACCGCAAAAGCCACTCACCGCAAACCTACTGTAGTTGTAATACATTGTATAATAAATTGTTTTTGAATTTTTATTTTTTGATATGCAATATCATTAACACATTGCCAACGGATGCCGTTTTTTCCATTCATTTCGGCTATAAGCATTGGCTGGAGGCTTTCAGTGGGTGAAACATTTTGACCACAGACAAACCAGGCATTTACCTGACCACATATGCTACAAATAGAGCTACTAATTTCCTGAGTTGTATGCAAATTAATGCAATGAATTTCTATCAACAAGAATATTGTGTCAACACAAGTTAGTCATGGCTTAAAGCGCTGTGGTCGTCGTGTAAATAAACAATGTATTTTACACGAGTTGTAAACGTCGCCACGAGTCCCATATCGAACAGGACATGGCACGACAACTGCCGCCCTTTAAGTAAACATAGTATAACCTGTCTTTAGCTATTTTTCCCATGTACCAACTCAATTAACAACACAATGCAATGGTACGCTGCACAAAATGAAAAAAAAACTGTTTTACATATTGTATATGTATACCAATAAATTTACATGTAATAAACACAAGGACAAAATCCTGAATTTGAATATAATAACTAATTCATAGCACAATCATTATGAATATTTAATGTGAAAACCACAGTATCAAATAACGATAAAAAGTAGATGAAGTCAGCTATTGTCTAGCCATAATTGCTGTCTGGACAGAGGTGTGTAGATGTGACTAGAATATGCTCACACATGTCTATAACTATTAAACACTGCTAACGCAATTGTGGTTTGGTTTAAGAAGGAAAACACTGTGAATAATTAATTGAGAAAGTGAGCTGACAGTTAAAATAGCCTAGATTAATCTTTATGGACTGGATACAGGTTTTGCGGCAGAAGCACCCGAGAGTGTGCGTTAACCGTAAGAACAAGGGCCACAAAAGCTGTATACAGTCCATAAAGGTTTCATCTATGCCTTATAGGTGTAATTACAATTTCACCACAATGTGATCATAAACACACAACATAACTTAGAATGACACGTTTTGTTTTTGTTTGATGAAAACTGAGCGTGCTCAGCCGGGCGTGATATGGGAAATTATTGTCCTGATATGAGGGTGCAATTCTCATAGTGTTAGAAGGTCGGGCAATACGAGGTATATGATAATGTAGAATATCTTTTTTTAGCAGCTTCATACTACCATAGTACTTGACAGTAAATTCTATTGGAGAATAATTTCCATAAATGTGTCTACACATATATATATACATAATAATTTATTAATTGTCCAGAAATCATAAGATTATATTCACATAAATTTTAGTAATGATTAAAAAAAACACTCCCTCTAATCAAGCCTTTTTTTTCCCCTTTTAAATCTTGGTTTGTTGTGAAATAACCATATAACCTGATGTATTCTGAGGCGTATTCATTGCTACTAAGTCTCCTCCATGCAAGGTATCTCTAGATTAAATGCGAAAGCAGTATTGCTTAATTTTGCCTTTCAACAAATATTAACAAATACAAATGACAGACAAACAATAAGTACAAGTGATAATTCCATTTATTAATTGACAGAATCTATCATTAAAGTTGTATTGACAGCAAAATTGTGTTTGAAGCATTTGACATGTCAAGTAATAGGTATACAGTAATAAATGTGGCAGCAACCATATACACAAGATATTTGCCTTCCCAAAAACCAAACATTATTGAGCAGTTCCATGGTTTCCTTTTAAGTAAACAAGCTTTTCCATATATCACACACAACTTAACTTCATAATAACTAAGTTAACTTCTACTTCACAGCTATATCTGTATTTCTAATGAATTTAAATGATAATCTGTATTCTTATCACTATTTCTATTGCATGTACAATTGTACATGTATATATGGCAATAAACTGTGACTATAAAAAACATCAGAGTCCTATATCTTATTAAATGTCAGACTGTTAATGGGCTTTTTATGACCGATTGCTTGTGAATTTAAAGTTGTATTGTCTATGAATACAATATATGTGCATATTAAAGTATTATGATTGTCACAACCTTTTTGGACACTGCCAAGTTTCCATGAATTTCTTGCATAGAGAGATGATTCCTGCTACTTGCTGCAAAGTATTTTATGAGTTTACTTTGATTCCTACATACTCCTGCGCATTCTGATAGTTCCTTCTACTTAACTGCCACACAGACTGCATGTTTGTTGCAACTGACGGCACAGACTGAAGTTTGCTGCTACTTGCTGCACATACTAATATTGGAACTTGCTGATTCCTGATATTTTCACAGACTGATAGTTTTTGTGACTTTTCACATGTAAATCAGTGTGCAAGAACAACAGTTTGAATAGCCGTATGACACTGCACACTATTTTGATGATTTTAGCACATGGCATTTCTGTGTGGAACAGGTTCAGATAACACCCTGAATAGTTCCAAGAACCATCCCTGAAAGGTTCTTGCACATGCAAATCCATTTTCTTAACAGATTAATACACATGAGTAAGATTAAGATCAAAAATTTAACTGATTTCAATTTGTGATGATCTAAACTTGGATTTGCGAAACAAAATTTTGAGACCTCTAAGCATCCTGTTTACTTGCTGTATGATACATTCCCAACATGCAGTGCAGTAAACTCCCAACATGCACTGGGGAAAACATTCGATTGACCTTTACGTAGTAAACTGTGCATGTGCAGTACTTTGTGTCACATGCTCCATGTTTTTTCTGGAGCTGTGTAGTCTGTATTACTGTGAACGGGATTCTGATAAATATGAAATCGTTTACCGATATCATTGAGCTCATACTTTATTACATCCAATAATTTCTCATATTTTACACAAAGTTGCATTGATTTTTAAAATTAGCGAAAATGTGAATAAATGAATGAACAAATAAATGAATAAATGAATGAATGAATGAATAAAGGATTGAATGAATGATGTGTCCCATATTTCAGTCCCTTTTGATTATCAGTTTTAGTGAATATTAATGAGTCTAGACTCAATCATCAAATAGATATCCCCCGACAACGTTTCCATGTACGTAGTATAGTAATTGATTTGAGTAATAATTAATAAGAGATAACAATGTTAAACTATGGATAGTACAATGTACATTCCATTTCACCTAATACGTCATTGCAGTCGTGACATGGATGTCAAGCAATAGATGAATGCAATGTGACTGGAATGTCTGTATTCATTAATGAACTGATTATATCAGTCATTGCACATATTATGTTCAACAAATTCATCTGTTGCATCTATTAAAAGATCTATTAAACATAAATAAGCTAAAATTATCACATTAATCATGGCATCAATTCATATTCATTAAGTTTTTTTTTTTTTTTTCAGAATTATTACCATATATGTCATTTATTTATATTATATGTACTGCAGCTAAATATAATAAAAACAACTTTTTCTTATTTCGAGACTATTCTGTATACTATATATATATACATGCAAATGTTAATCAATGAAATCATTCATTTCATGAACATCTTCTAACAGCAAAAATGTTAGAGTTATAAAAAAGCTGAGAAATATGTGTATATGTATTTTTTACAAAAGTACTCAAAAAGTGTAAAGAAGCTTTCTATTTTTGGATTTTCTACCAACTAATATAGTTAGAAAATTATTTGTGTTATTCTATGTAGCAATGCTATTATATGTGATTTCTGTTGTATCATTGTATCCGATGGGTTTATTTATTTATTTTTTTTTTTTTTTAACGAGAATGTCATCGCATAATTTATTAAGAAAGCAAATGTTACAAAACGTACCCGTATGTGTCTAATCTATTATACACGATTTCTGTGTATATTTCTCTCATTTACATAACGAGCAATTGACAGAGGGTGACTTGTTCTAATAACTATTTTTTTTTTTTTTTTTTTTTTATTAAGTTTGACAGATATAAAATCATAATATATACAAAGTAGTTTTATAGATTTTTCTATAATGGTAGTTTTGGACTAAATAAACATAATTTTTCATCAGATACAGGCCATGATCACAAGTTTAAACAAGCAGCCTGTCGGCTGAGATAGCTCCGCTGTTAGCAATGCACATGGCAATTAAAGAACAGAAGATATCATTAGATCAAAGAAAGCTTAGAAAGAACTCCCGTGTGCTGAGAGTTTTGGAGACACATTAAAAATTAATTCAAAATTACTTATACTTGAGATATTGATGGAATAGCTGAAAACTAATTATGCAAATAAGGTAACTAATATGAACAGATTTAGGTGTAAAACTAATAAGGTCTGCACAATGTACCAAGTTTCATTGGAATGTGATTAGAACCAAAAAAATATTAATTATTATGCTAATTAGAGAATTAATATGAACAGATTTTAACCCAAAATTAATCAGGCTGTCTATTGTCTTAGAGCATTTATGTACCAAGTTTTATTCAAATGTGATGATCAATACTTGAGATATTAGTATTAATTAATTATGTTAATTAGGTGATTAAGAAGCATAAATATTTACCAAAAACTAATATGGTGCATAGTCTTAGG